TAGATGTCAAACCCATAATTATTATTATTTGAAATGTTGTTTCTTGACTTGACTTTTCTGGCTTTAATGTTTGTGTGTGCGCGTTTGTTTACAATATCATTATCAACAACAGTTATTCAGTGGCCCGTCTCTGAGGCAGTAAGTCGCGGTTTCGACTAAGTCGCGTAGTTCGATGGCTCCGAACGATTGTATTGTGTTTTGCCGTCAGTTTTAAAGTAGAAAAACTAAGTCTGGTATTATCGCGTATTTAATTGCCCGCTCAATCAGTTGGAGGTGACAACTTAACACCTACAGACCGTCAATTACTGAAATAGAAAGGGTGATAGCAGCCTGAATCGAGGTGTCGACAGGGGTATAAAAAATAAGTTTGCGTAATTATTGCAAAGGCAACGCATTATCAAGTCGGCAAAGTTGAAATATTCACAGCCAGTACGTAAACAATGAAAAACAAGTTTGCGCAATTATTACGAAGCCAACGCATTATCAAGTCGGCAAAGTTGAAATATTCACAGCCAGTACGTAAACAATGGAAAATAAGTTTGCGTAATTATTACGAAGGCAACGCATTATCACGTCGGCAATGGTGAAATATTCACAACCAGAATGGTAACAATTTTTACGTAGGCAACGCAGAGCCAGTAAAAATTTGCGTAATGGGATGTGTATAATAAAAAGGTCAACGCGTGGAGCGCGAATGGTCACCAAGGTAACAACCCACTTGTTCAGTGCGTGACTTGGGGTTAAGGTTTATTAGATTAGTCAGTTTCGCCAAGAAGTGCGCTATTTTTTTCGCTGATCACCCAGTTGTTGTAGTATATATTGTAGCACCAAGTGTGTGACACTCCTTCTTCGACTTCGGCTTGCTTTTCCTACTTAGTGCATGGTCTCGAGGTAACGTAAACTGCGGCCTCTCATCGAGTGTTTTACACTTGGAATTTATACTTCGCCCGATTATATTGGTATACGCGAAACATTAATCTTTTAAAATAAATCCTGAGACTATACATGATGTAAATTCAAAATAATGTGATATTATTTTACATTATGTGGGGTCTACATTATTCTGGGTTGCTTTGCGATGTTATACCAAGACTCGTGAAAATAAAATAGTGTTTTTCTGCGAACTAATAGAGACGATTTTTCCAATCTTCTGGTACCACTCGATTTTTATTATTTGAACTTGGCGGCAAGTAACCTTTAGTTTCCCAGTCTATTGTGTCCATTCATAGTCTTAACAATAGGGTGTAAATTGCCATGCGAGCCTACCGCACATGACCGCGGTAAACCGGGGTCATGGAATCTATGCATAAATTTGCATAAAATGCGGTCGACCGGCGAGCACCCACCACCACCGCGGTAATGACCGCGGTAAACCGCGAGTTTGATTTCCTACTCTTCCCTAATGAACAAACAACTTTCAAAGTTACGACGTTACATAACTTACTTCGCGATGTTATACATAGATTTATACCAATAATTCCTCTTACTCAGTCATGATGCCAAGCAAAAAAATGTTACTTCGTTTTTTTGATATGAAATAAAAGTAAAATTTGACTTAGATTTACCGAGAGTGGACATTTTTTGATCACTCGATCGCTTCAGTCAAAAACACAGCCCGTCGTGATGTTTGTGACGTATTAGTTGTCCGGCAAGTGTCCTTTGACCCGATGGGTCAATAATTCCATTAACCAATCAGAAGGCCGTATAGTAATGCCGGTAGAATCCGTAGTTTTCCCGAATAGTAGTGATCATAAAAATTACATTGCAGAAGTGAGGTGATGTCATAGCACGATGTGTTGACATAGATTTCAGTTGAAAACTGCATGGTGGTTTTCGAAAGAAGTGATTAGCAATTTTTAAAAGGTAAAATAGGTCTTGAAAGAAGAGTTTTTACATGAATCGCGATGATAACAGTTCAAATGTATTTTTCCAAATCACGCAATAAACACGTTGATTTTTTTTCTTGAGTAGCGTAAACTGTCAGATCGTGAACTGCGGTTTAACCATGTAATATCGAGATGAAATTGATTTTGAAAGAATTTTAGCTTTCAATCTAAAGACTGTCTATCGCAGAAAGTATTTACTTACAAACAATTTACTTTCACAAAATTGACGAGCCGCTACGGATCGTGCGATGTTTATTGTTTACAAATTATAATCCAGAACTGGTAGGATGCGTGTCGGTCGGTACATAATTATAATAACAATCTAACAATAGTCCTGGTCAAAACCATTTCCCGTGGTGGTCGCTAACTGCCAACCAGCGTGGCAAGATCCCCGTCAACCTCCCAAGTTTCAACAATATCTGCTGCGGAATTTCTGAAAAATGTTAGAGACGCGAGACGGAAACAAGAAACTATACTCCCTTTTCAGGCTGTGCCTAAAACTGGGACTAAAAATGCAGCTCCAAGACATAACATGCTGAACATATAACTGCTTTATGAATCAGTATGGCCTGGAGTCCAAGGAGCTACATTTTACTTCTGTGGATTATTTGAGCCACTCAGAATCCTTGGCTCAGCTTTATGAATCTAGTTCTTGCCTTGTCAGTAATCAAAACTCAATGTATTTTAATCACTTGAGCCAGTCATATTAGCTGGACTTATTTACATAAAACACTCAGAAGCACAGGAACAGCAAGTTAGCAAATGTTCTCACTAATTCACTGGCAACTTTAATTTTGATATAGCAGACTGCATACCAACACATGTGCTCAGTCTTGTAAAACCTCAAACTTGTTTAAAATATTTTTTTAAAGAGATTACTTGAAATTGGTAGTGATTGAATGAAAGAAAAATATTAAAATGTAGGTCATTTGCATATTCAAACCAAAGTTGTCAGCAATGCTGAGACAGGCTGTAAATGCCATACTTTTTCATTCCAAATTTTTTTTTTTTACATTTTTACATATTTTCTTTGTTAATTTTGGACCAAATAAACAATTCTCTCTGTTGCCTGCAAATGTTATCAACATTATTTTGTAAAAGGTGACAAACTCTTAGTAATTTAAAGACATTCTTACCTGTATTTGCTTTGTCAGAATTATCAGTGACTTTGTTTTCTTCAGCCTGAACATCTTTCAGTTGTTCCTTAACTGGTTCAGATTCAAGGTTCTGTTTTGAAACTGTAACTTCTATCTGGGAAATGTTGTCACTTGGAACCACATTTGATGCAGTTTCAACAGACTTCTCCCCATTTTCCACATTTTTTTCACTTTTTACTTCACTTTTGATGTCCTCAATTTGTTCTTTTACCTCTGCAACTACTTTTGTCTGATCCTTAACATCAGGAATAGACTCAGGAACCTGTGCAGGAACAGACGCAGGAGCTGGAACAGACACAGGAACTGGCGCTGGAACAGACGCAGGAACCGGCGCTTGAACAGACGCAGGAACCGGCGCTGGAACAGACGCAGGAACCGGCGCTTGAACAGACGCAGGAACCGGCACTTGAACAGACGCAGAAACCGGCACTTGAACAGACGCAGAAACTGGCGCTTGAACAGACGCAGAAACCGGCGCTTGAACAGACTCAGAAACCGGTTCTGGAACAGACGCAGAAACCGGTTCTGGAACAGACACAGAAACTGGTGCAGGAACAGGTACAGGCACAGATGTGGGAACAGATTCAGGTAACACAGCAATTTCAGTAACAGAATCCGACGACACAATTTTCTCGGTTTGATTTTCACTAATGTCCATTTGCACAGTTTGTAAATCTGGTTTTGCAATATTAGTGTCTAAAACAATTGTTTCTTCTTGAGTGGAAGATACTGATGCAATTTCCTCTGGTTTTGTGTCCTCAACCACATTTTCTGTAGCATCCTTATCCGGCAAAACAGCAACAACAGGAGGGGCAGCAGTGGCAACTGCTGGCTCCTCTTCCTTAGGGGCTGGTGCAGAGGGCTGCACTTCCACCACAGTTTCTTCTGAAGCAGTTGCTACAACTGCTACAGATTTTGGTGGTGTAGGAGTCCTTACATCGCTATCAAGAGTTGCAGCAACTTGAGCGGCAAACTGAGCAGCAATAGAATTTCCCAGCACCGGTTGAGGTTGAGGAGGAGGGGTAGCTGTGACCTGAGTAAGAGAGTCAAACAAAAAATGACATTTTGTAGCAGTCTTTTGAATATTCCAAAGCGCACTAACACAAAAACTGAAGGTCATACTATGTAAAACTTATTGTTAATCACATGAACAGATGAGTCTTCAGGGGTTTTCTGAGAAAGCTATTTAAAGCCTTGTGTACTCTTCCACTCATTACAGTCTACTTTTTTTTAATGCTGCTGCTCCCATCCGGTCCCGCAAGTCTTGAATTTTCATCTTGAGGTAGTAAAAAATCAAGCAAAGATTGTTATACCATTCATGTTAAAATTCCCACAAATTTTGGTTCACCAAAATACCATAATAGCTACTATATTCATCATTAACTAGTTACGCGTTCCTTGTATGCGCGTACTTGCTCTGCATTTTAATGACAAGAGAACAGCTACTGTACATACCTGAGGTGGCGTTCCTGTTGCACTTGATCTACCGGAGACCGGTGGTGTAACATTAGCACTTCCGCCGGTTATATTCGTCATGGCGCCAACATTTCCACTACTGAGAGGCGCTGAAACAGTAGCACTACTGCTAACGGTACTCGCACTGCCACCACTTATTTTCATAATTTCTTCAGTGATATCGACCCCTTTATTCGGGTCAGTTATTCTTATAAGTTTTTTCTCTCGTTGGACTGGTTTATCAGTTCTCATATAGTTCTGCTGTGCAGCCGTGTTGTAATGCTGCTGCCTGTTATACTGCATCTGTTGTATGGGTTGTTGGGGGGCAGGAGGAGGGTAGTACCCTGCAGAGTATAAATATTCTAATGAAGAAAAGAAGAAATCAAAGAAAAGAGCAGAAAGAGTCGTAGGTTAGCAAATTGCAGCTGCACGTAACAATGTAACAAATTAGCATATTTAAATACTATTAAGTGTAAGCAATTGCAAGCATACAAGTTGTAAAGTACAGCTTATCATGGACACCATTATTAGCATTAATGCCATTTACACAGCATTTTCATCCAATACTCTGGAATCCTGCACTTGAAAAGTTGACCTTGAATATACAGGAAAGTTAAGGTCTATGTTAATGCACACTAAAGACAATATGCAACAAATTCAAGGAAGTCTCGGACATGGAAAAACATAGCGCAACTATTACAACTTTGCCCTGTTGAGAATTCACATTAAATAATTGGAAGGATACAAAATAACGATGCAAAATGTAAAAAAAAAAGTAACAAGCAGCCTATCGGCTGAGATAGCTCCGTTGTTAGCAATGCACATTTCAATTAAAGAACTGAAGACATCATTAGAAAATGAACAATATGAATAGTATCAAAGCAATCTGACTTGCAGTTTTTAACAAGAAGTCAAAAATATCACTTTTTACCAAAAATTACAAAAATATTCACCAAAATAGAGAATTGAAGATATCATTACAAAACAAACAAATATGAGAGAGGTCCACATGTAGTACCTATATATGTAATATCAAAGCAATTGGACTTGCGGTTTTCAACAAGAAGTCGAAAATATCACTTTTTACCAAAAATAACAAAAATATTCACCAAAATTAGAGAATTGAAGATATCATCACGAAATGAACAAATCTGAGAGAGGTCTACCCAAGGTACATATACACCAAGTATCAAAGCATTCAGGCTTGTAGTTTTCAAGAAGAAGTCGAAAAAGTAAAACATTGACACGGACGACGACGGACAATCACTCATATGATAAGCTTCGCTCGACAAAGTCGACAGCGGAGCTAAAAAGTAGATGTTCTGCAATAAAAACTTTCTGAACATTTCATCTGGTACCCACCATTAGAATCTCAATCTCAAACAGATTGTCGCTTGCCCGGGCATGAGCGCTAATGCAGTCGAGTACGGTATATATAGAAGAGATGATTTGATAATTTACTATTCAAAATGCATGCTTCCCTATTGTGAAATCTTTATGGTTCAGTTTTGCAGTCAATACGAGTGTTCACATGTTCTTGTGTTTTACCTATGCACTATCACATCGTGAGCTACAAATGAGGAGTCCATTGCTCAAAATGTCTGCATGTTTTGAATAGTTATTTGGGATAAGTATTACTAAATCATTTACTTGTATATTGTATTACAAAGAGTTGTGAACAAGTTGATAAAACATAAAGGCATAAGGCTGAAGTAAAGAAAAAACAAAAAGACAGCAACGCTGAAAATGATTAAAAAAGCATTGGACAATAAGAAAAGGTTTGTTCATTATCATGAAGATTCTATGAACATGTTCATTGTTTTGTTTTTTTTGCATAGTTTTCCCTTCTTAATATGGTTATTTTTTGAATGGTCATCAGCGTGAATAGAAATCTAATCGTTTTTTCATGGAACACGCACTTACCAGGAGTCGGGCCTGAAGGGGAGGCTGCTTGGCCAACTAGAACAGAACAAAACAAAACAAACATAGCAAAAGAAAAACAGAAAAACACCACAAAGAAACATTGAATTAAATTCTATGTGTATACTGTGATTTCTGTATTGTATTCATTCTCATCAATACTTGTAAGCATTAAAATAACATTTTTACTAAATAGACTTTATGCAGTAGTAGTAGTAAGTAATTAAGGCAAAACCAGTATATCAAGCAAGTTCCCAATAATATTGTATGCCCCCCACCCCCAGTGATATTATCGATGGTCCTTAAAAAACTAATATGGAAAAAGTGTTGTCGTCAACTTCCCATTGTCATGATATAACATCTTTCTAAAAATCTATTTAATCTTGAAACGAGCCAAATCTGGAAATATTAAATTATTTAAGATTATTTGAGATGTTTAAGCGAATAATAATCACATCGGTAGTTTGGTAGCAGCCATATTTGATTTCTCTGTGAGTAGAGTAGTACCCCCAAAATCAATAAGTAATGGAGTATTGGGGGTCAGTATATTGCAGTAGTATGCATTGGAATGATTTTTATCCTAATGACTAGATAATGTACTTTTATAATAATGCAGTACTATATTAAGAGCAAACACCCTTTGTAAAACAATGTAAAGCGGGAACCCATATTGCAGTGTAACAGAAATTAAACCCTTAAAACTTAGCATGTGATTGTGCAAATCTAAATGTGCAAGACAATGCATGTTAAGAAGCAGAAGATATCAAAGACACAGAATACAGCAAACGTCACTAGTCAGAAAAGCAAATTACAAACAGCAAAACACAGTGCGAGTAGTATAGCGTGCCTCAAAACAACATCCTTGAACACTTGTTAAAAAAAAAAAAATCAGGAAATTTATCGGTTAGAGGAGAGCATACGATCTAGCACACAAGTACAAGGATGCAGCCATGTGTACAACTCTCAATGCTAGGTTTAATGTATTAAGCAAGCAAAGCAATATTAGGACATTAGAAGATTCATTGGCATGTAACCAGTTTGACAGCTGTGATGAGGAAGATGAAAACACCACATCATACCACTAAGCAGTGTTGTTGCACTTGGTACTTATTTATTGTACTATGATGCAATCAAAATTTGAAAGCACTAAAAAATCTTCCTAAACTCAGTCAGGATTGTCTATAGTGAGTGATCCTTCTAATAAATTCAAATCAATCTAGAAATTTCTCTTTTCTGCAGCGACTTTGTAGTACCTGCACTACAGCCATAACGTCTTAGCATGCTATTTAGCATGATGGGTGGTGCGGCAGACAAATTGAACAAGAGCCAACAAACTCATCTATAACTAGCAAGATTAATCTTCTTTTAGAGATCAAAGTTAGAGAGTAGAGTGGTAGAGTCACTTACCAGGATTTTGACTTGGTGGTGATGGTGTATAATACGGTGCTGTGTTTTGAGCCACGTATTGAGGTTGCTGAGGTTGCTGTACATGTTGATACTGCGGCCTTGTCGCTGGAAACTAATGAATAAATTTGTTTTAAATTTCAGGGTACAAAGTATATCAACAGAACTGATTGCATTTAGTATATTATCACGACTAGTTGATCAGAAAAAATTCAAAGTACATTCATTTTAATAAAATTTCAATGCAATAATAGATCATGTTTCAAACTTGTTATAAAATTGTGATTAAAATGGCAGCCGAAATCTCGAAAGAACGAGAGCCATGTGACTGTTTTGACAACTCAACCAGTGTTTCATTTACTAGTCATGTCAACTGTTCCAAATACCCTGGTTTCCATGGTCAGGGAAACGATGGACTCCATGACAGTCACATGACTCTTGTTCTTAACAAGTTCTCTGTGGTGAACTGTACCTATGATCTATTAAACTGCACTATCAAAATCAATACAAGTGCACATGATAATATAAAACAATCAGTGATAGTAAACTACTGAACAATAACCATTGGTCCTAATACTTGGTTGATGACCACTACTGTCCAACAATCATTAAATCTTATTGCAAGCATACAATCATAAACCATGGCTTGAAATTTAAAAGGACATGAAATGATTCACAAAGAATTTAATTCGGTGTTCTTTCAAAAATACAAATTTGTCCTGTATTAACCATATGCAAAGGCAATTGCATCAAATTTGACCGTGACACTGAGTGGCCTCATAAAACTCAAGCTCCGACATAGCTTCTTATTAAATAACCACACACCTCCATAATGAGAAAATATAAAAAGCACTTGGTACTAGCCCCAACCAACCACATACAACACAACTAGCTTATGCATTTCAACATGGTCATATATCCAATAATCTATAAGGTCTTGACAGAATATTGGACAGTTCTCATGAAGTAATAGAAGTAGGTCAAAGACGTACGATCCCACGTCTTTTGAAATGACTTTCAAGATGAGTCATGCAAATTATACCAAACATCGACCCAAGTATTCACTGAATTCTTTGAATCCACAATTTGAGCAGTAAATAAATAATTATTAATTTCCTGATAGTATCTATTATTTGAGCAGAAAATAACTTTGATTGAACTGAAAAATTGAACAGACAGAAAAATTACACCACCCTTACCAATGCTGCGCTATGACAACTATTATGTACATCTACACTTACGTGGAAAAAAATCATGCATTACCAGAAAATTGCAAAATATACCATACCACATGCTCCTAACGCTATGGTTGGGATGACTAATGTACAAATAAAGTACAAATAAACAGTGTCAAATACAACTGTTTATATGTATCAAATGGCAATGATCCATGGATATTCATCTCTATGTATTAAACAAAGCTCATCAGTGTCACCGCAAGGTCTGGAAATACTACACACAAAATGCATGACAACTGCGTTTATAGTTTATAATCATCAAAATAAATATGCCAAAACAAAACTATGTTTTGTCACAGTGGCTGTGAGAAAACAAACTTTATTCAATTCACCATACATAAGGTGACAGCAGAAAAGTGATATTTATAACATTAATATCATGTGATATATCCATGGACCAAAAGTTCTGAGAGAGTGGGCCAGATCTAGAACATCCTTTTACACAAGACCTGTCATTCATCTGTTGAGGCCTGTCAGCAGGCTATGTGTTTACTAATGAAACCGACAACTGATTCACTAACAAAAGACAAAGTAGATAGCAGTGAGAATAACAATTAGCTGAAAAAACTTGTTTTTACCACATTAAACATGACAATACACACATACAACAGATACAATATCTAGCATGGAGGCGTAGAAACGTACATTTGACGATGTCCATACTGTGTGTGTTGGACCACTGTTGCTGGTCATATACATACTATACCCATCTTCAGATGGTCCCACACTGTAGACACCAGCGGCACTCTGGCAATATTAATAAGCAAATAGACAAAGGAAAGAAAGACTTATTTTTCTATTTTATGGTGATGTTCGAAATATACCAAAAACGATTTTACTAATTACATTGAAATGTTTGAACGTACACAAACAAAAACGATTCGTTTTTAACTATAATTTGAGTTTGATGTATATTTCAAATACCTCTAAATTATTTTTTATAAATTTGCAGGTATTAGACACGCCTATACAAAATTTCTCACAAATAAATCAGATTAATCATTTTTGCTGGTTGGAAACACTACCCCCAAAAAATCCACTGAATTTTATCGAGAAATTAAATTAAGACATTATTACATATACAAGATAATCGATTTGAAATCAATGAATGATCTAGTAAGGTTTTTTATTATCTGTTTAGGCTGGAAACTGACATTTGCTTATAAGAACAAGAAGCATACACACTTGTTTAAATGCAAGGTCAAAAGTCAATGAATTAGTATACAACAAATGTCATTTTAATGCAATTTTTATGTACATTTCCATGGAAACCAGCTTCAGGTTTTTAATGGAAACAATGGAATTTGGATATTTGAATGATATTTGATTATTTACATTTACTACACATAATGTAGACTTAGCAATATTAAAATCTCATGACAGCATGATTTCAACAAACTAGGAAAGGTTAAAAATCATGCAGTTTACACATTTTTATGAAAAAGTAGAGTGGAAACTGGGATGGGGATGGGGGGGGGGTTAGTAGACATAGATTTGAATATTGGGATGACTTACATTCATGGGCTGTGCCAAGAAGAGAGCTGGTTGTTGGACATTAAATTGTGGAGCAGTGGCAGCAGGACTTGTTGAGTACATCTGCTGTGTGGGAGCAACCTGTCTCTGCATGTTAGTTCCAGGCCTAGGCTGATGTGGTCCTTGTCTGGGATTGTAATATGCCTAACAAAAAATGAATAGCAATAAGTTGGACAATCAGTCTGCATGTTTCAACCTGGAACTTCAGTGTTCCATTCTCACTTTGCCCAACATGGAGAAAACCTCATAAAGGCTTTGGATTCTGTGCATTTCACTGACAAACTTAGAAACACCTAAAATAGAAGAAGCTAAGCAAACATTAAAATGCAAACATTGGATAATAATGAAAATCAATATTTGATGAGATACAATGGCCTTGTTTTTGTTAAGTGCAGGCAGGTTTAAGATTCTATCATTTCTATCATGATCACAATAATCAGCGAGAAGTGTTCTGCACATAATACAGTGACGCAACTTTGAAAGAACCAAAATTGGATTGTTATTTTTGGTCAAGGCATTACTGATCCTTGTAATTTTGTAAATACCAAATCAAATTTACTTTGGCCACCATAGAGATAACAAAATGATAGAGAAGTAAAAATTGAATCCACAGCTTATCTTATTAACAATCTTTTGACAGTCACCAGAAGTACAGAAACAGAACAGTATCAAAATATCAAAATGAAGAAACAGTTCTATGCACCTCAAATGATAACCAACCATACACTACCTGATGTTGATGTTGATGTTGCTGTTGCCGAGGCATCTGATGTTGATACATAATTGTATGTTGTTGCGTCCCCTGCACCACCCCACCCTGGGGCTGGGGCTGTTGTGATTGCACAGCTGACTGTGGAGGAGTCTGTGCCAAATGTGGCGGTTGACCCTTGTTCATATCATGAGGAGCTCCACTAGTAGGGGGAGCAGCTGGTGAATGTTGTCTTGGTGGAATTTGCTGTAACAAAATACAAACAAGTAAAACTATGGTTCAGGCCTACCACTATTATGCCACTAATGCCCACAGCACAAGAGTTGAGTGATAACAAGAAAAATGAAATCAATTTACACTTTTTTTTTCAATACGATGCATGTACTTCTTTCCCTCATAACATGCAATGACAAAACACTTAGTCTGTAACTAATGAAAGCATAAGATGCTTTATACACGTCAAAATGAACCACAATCAACAGTTATCCAACTGTATAAATAAACCCGGAAGCCTAGGTAGCATGTACAATGGGAGTAACATTGGCAGTATGGAATGCCAAACCATCGATCTGTCCTGTATCATGAATACATACATTATGAATGCGATAATACTGCTGTTATTTAATACTCCTAAAAATATTCTAAAATATGATGCAACCTTAAGATACATTTACACTTTTCTGGCCTTCCATACAAAAGTAATTTACGTAAAGCTTTTAACCACTTATCAATAAATTTAGCCTTTGCTTAAAATAGCAACTGGGTAGCAGGCTTGATCGCATGCTGATTTCAATATAGATTCCATGTTTGTTTACATCATCTTTTCGAACACACACTGGACGGCTGTCGCTTTCTCAAAGTAGAATACGACTTTTGAACTGACGTAGGCCTGAAGAAGGACTTTCTAGAATAGAAGATAACTTACCTGTGGGTAGCCTTGTATACGATAATCAGGATGACCACTGGCAGCAGCAGAAGAATAACCTCCTCTATGACTACAAAGTTGTTAAGGAAAATACAGAGTAACTATAGTAACATAATTCACTGAATATAGGATGTAACACTGTGTACTGTTGCATCATTTATTTAAAGATTTATGGCCAGCAGGTTTTCAAGTCAACATGCAGTTCCAAAACAGTCAGACAAGTGGTTCGAGATTTTCTGAATCACTTCTCATTCCAACATACATGAACTACATGGATGGAGTTTTCAATTCAAGACTAATGTTGATGCTATCTGCAGGACACCAAGCAGAACATGGAAAGGAAACTTAATCTGACAATAGCTGACGTGTCAAAGACTGTAGCAGGGTTCTCCACGGTTTGAAAATTAAACAGGGCGCGCCAATGTGAAGTGGGCGTGGCACATTTGTAACGTGCATCATTGGCAAGGATGTTGAAAAATAGAAACCAAAAAATCTATTAATCTACATATTATTACATATGCATAATATATATTTATTATTACAAAATGAATAGGAATTTTGAAGAGCTATTATTAAGTAAACGTCAGCACGTAACAATCAGCTGATTTTAGCTGCACAATTCCTCAAGCGGCGACATCAGTTGTTTACAAGTAATGATCGCGTCCAGAAAAAAACGTAACAAGTTTGTTAATTTATTTTCCCAAATAGATACATATATGCTTTATTTAATTATTAGCAAAA